ATATATATATATATATATATTAATTGATTATTTATTTTTTGATCAAAGATCACTTAATTGATTACCAAACATTTTAAATTTTAAAATCTCTTATAATAATTTTAATTTTAAGAGACTTAAGAAGAATATTTAAATTTAAATATAAAATCATAGAAAAAATATGTCATTTTTAGAAAGTATGAAAAAATAATTAAAGATTATAAAAAAATGACAAGCAACAAAATTTTTACTCTTTTATTAGACGAAGTAGATAGATCAGAAATAATATAAGTTCATCCGATAAAAAAAATGAATTTTATAGTCAATTTGTAAGCTACACTCATCTAAAAGATTTATAGCTCAACCATTGTTCGGAGGAATCCTCGTGTTTTTCTTTAAAGTTGTCATTTAAACATATATTTTTCCATTTTTCGAATAAACAATCATATCATACTATACTATAAAAGAAATATATTTCCTTTCACCACATCCATTTGAAACTTTCATTCATTTTTTCCTTTCACCATATTCATTTGAAACTCCCATGACTTTTCAATTTCTTTCTAATAATGATTATAAGTTGGTTAATAAGGTTAAATAAATATCAAACATAAAGTGTAATCATATATAAACTAAGTTTCAATATTAAAAAAATAGTTTTACTTCTACATATAAAGTTATGTTTTTTTAACTTTTAACATATTATACTTAATTTATTAATTTTAATATATTGTTGGATGTAAACCGTTATCATTTAAAAACTATAAATTTTGAACAATTTGTATAAAATACTTAAATTATTAATTTAAATATCATATTACATGGTCAACTTAAATATAAAACCAAAGAATATTTTGTAAATAGTTAAAAGTGATAAATGCAAAAACTAAATTGTAATCTCAATTTAACTAAAATATTTCCTAAAGATATTTTTATAATCGTTAGAAGTTTTCAAATAAGTAGCTTAAAATAACTTCTAATAACAATAGTTAAAAATAACTCTATATAAATAACTCTCATGCTTTTTTCCTTTCACCACATTCATTTGAAACTCCCATGACTTTTCAATTTCTTTCTAATAATGATTATAAGTTGGTTAATAAGATTAAATAAATATCAAACCTAAAGTGTAATCATATATAAACTAAATTTCAATATTAAAAGAATATCTTACTTCTACGTATAAAGTTATGTTTTTTAACTTTTTACATATTATACTTAATTTATTAGTTTTAATATATTGTTGGATGTAAATCATTATCATTTTAAAGCTTCAACTTTTGAACAATTTCTATAAAATATTTAAGTTATAAACTTAAATATAATATTAGAGGACCAACTTAAATATAAATTTTAGTTTAACTTAAACAACCTAAATAATATTTTGTAATTAAATAGTTTAAAGTGATAAATTGTAGTGTCTTTCTAATAATGATTATAATTTGGTTAATAACGTTAAATAAATATCAAAACTAAAGTGTAATCATAAATAAACTAAATTTCAATATTAAAATAATATATTTACTTCTACTTATAAAGTTATGTCTTTAACTTTTAACATATTATACTTAATTTATTAGATTTAATATGTTGTTGTATGTACACCATTATCAAATTTAAAGCTACAATCGTGGAACAGTTTGGACAAAATACTTAAACTGTTAATTTAAATATAACATTATAGTGTCAACTTAAATATAAATTTAAGTTCCACTTAAAAAACCCAATGAATATTTTGTGAATAGTTAAAAGTGATAAATTGTAGTGCTAAATGCAAAAGTAAATTATAATATCAATTTAACGAAAATATTTCTTAAAGATATTTGTATAATCGTTAAATGTTTTCAACTAAGTAGCTTAAAATAATTTACAATAACAATAGTTATAAATAACTCTATATAAATGATTATATTGTTATCTTTAAAATAAAAAAACAATGATGTTTTAAATAATTATAATGATAGAAATTAAAACGTTATGAAAATAAATTTTAAAAAGTCAATTAACAATAACAAAAACTATAAATAACGTTAAGTCATATATTATATTTAATTTTATTCATGAGTAACTCGCGGGTAGAAGTCATTCAAACGGTTGAGATTATACAGTTATAATAGATGTATATATTATCATATAATTCAAAATAATCAATATATCATATTAATTTAGTATACGAATTATTATATCAAATTTAACAACATCGTTATTGTTATATTTAAAAAAACATATATTTGTAAAGATTTCAACTATATATGTGTTTATGTGCAACGCACGGGCATTCGCCTAGTAGTCTCATAATAATATGTTTTAGTTTAATAATTCTAGAAGATGCAATTTTAATTTGATTTATACAAGTAAATTTCCGATATACGTATCCAATGATATTCCCTCTTTTAGCAATATGTTGGCTTGTTATTTATTTTATGTTATATTCTTTGTTAAAGGTCTTGGCATATAAAAAATTCCATATAAGACTCCTCGACTTAGTATCAGCAAAAGGGTTAATGTATGATCGTCAATGATGAGAAATTATATATTTTTCTATATATTCTTTTTCTATATCTTCTTACCCACCTTAAATGATCATATTTAAGGAAAATAATAACATTTTCATACATTTGTGTGAAACATATCATCATTTAAGATGGATATGAGGATATGTAAGAAGAAATGTAAGAGAATATTTAATTCTCATCAATGATATATTTTTTGTTTTTTATGTTACTTACTTTTTAATTGTATTCAATAAACCATCAAATATTTTTTGGATTTTTTTATACCATTAATGTAGATCTCAATTGGTAAATTAGTATTAAATCTTACTATCTTCCACTGTGGCATTCAATATGGCAAAGTTTTTTTTTCATTTCTGTTTATATGGCATTATCATTGCGTCCTAGACAAAGTGAAAAAGGGTTAAAAAAAACTCTGGATTCAGTCAATCGTTTGAAGGAGGTGAAGTTACGATAAGAAATTGCAAACACATCCACGTAATCTCCATTTTCTTGCATCCCGTGCTTGATTAATTTAATTTAAGTTTTGTTTAGTGGTGATAATGGAGACCGTTGAAGACTTCGACTCGATAGACGTGGAACTTGATGAGTTATTCATAAAGAAACAAATGCCTAGATGCAAAGACGAGTTCTTGAACACTCTCCGTGAAGAAGGCCTAGAAGCTTGCTCCATCCCCGGTGTTCAAAGATGAAAGTGACGGAGATGAGTCCCTTGATTTGAACCCTAAAGATGAGACAGATGATGAAGAAGGTGCTTCGCGAGAAGGGTTAAGTGAAAAGGAGGATGAAGACGGTGCTGATTTCCAATAAAGTATACACGATCCGAAGGCGAAATGGAACAAAATGAAGCCAATTTTGGGAGAGAGGTATGAATCACCACAACAACTTAAACTCTGTTTAACCAACTACTCCATAAAACAAGGTTATCAGATTAGTTTCGAAAAATGTGATAGTGTTAGGCTTGTAGTTGTGTGTGCAAATGAGCAAGTAAAAGTTCAATGACCTTTTCTGGTTAGGGCTTCCTGGATGAGCACTGAAAGATCATTTCAAATCAAGAAATTTGTTGATAAGCATAAGTGTGTTAGGACTTTTAATAATGCAAAACTTATGGATGCAACATGGATACTAGACAATTTCTGAAAGAGTTGATTAGGAAACCAAATTTGAAGTGTAAGGAAATGCAGGTCATTATCCAAAGCAAATTTCATTGCAAAATTTATTGGTCAAAAGCGTATAGAGCAAGATGTAGGGCCATGACTTTAATTGATGGAAAGTTGAGTGACCACTATTCTAAGGTATGAGATTATGGATATGAGTTGATGAGGTCAAATCCAGGTAGCAAAATTAAACTTGTTGTGAATCTAAACCTGGATGGAACTACTACTTTTCAAAGAATATACATTGGTTTTAAAGCTATTGCAAATGGATGGAAAGTTGGTTGTTGTAGGGTGATTGGTCTTGATGGTTCCTTTCTGAAAGGACCACGTAAGGGTGAGATTTTAACTGCTATAGGAAGGGATGCAAATAATCATGTGTATCCCATTGCTTGGGCTATTGTTGACATTGAGAACAAAGTTAACTGGAAGTGGTTCTTGGAGTTACTGGATGATGATCGTGGATTGGAAGGAGGCAAGGGTATATGTGTTATTTCTGATCAATACTAAGTAAGAATTTTATGTATCTATATTTGTACTTGTATATATGTTTATTGGTATTAACATTATGTGTTCATGTATTTGATAGGGACTTCTTGAAGCTACAAAGGACATTCTACCACATGTAGAGCACAGACAATGTGAAAGGCATATATATATATATATATATATATATATATATATATATATATATATATATATGCCAATTTCAGAAAAGTCTACAGTGGATTAGAATTCAAGAACATGTTTTCGGCAGCTTCCAAGTCTACTGTGGAAGGGGGGATTCATCATGAATATGGAGAAAATCAAGGCTATCAATCCATCTGCTTATGATCATTTAATGGCAAGGGAACCTAAATCTTAGTGCAAGGTATACTATCAAGCTGGACTGGCATGTGAGGCTGCTGAAAATGGAATGGTTGAATGCTTTAATGCTATAATAATAGATGCAAGGAAGAAGCCATTGTTGACTATGCTTGAAGAGATAAGTCTTTATGTGATGGAAAGGTTCTACAAGTTCTCCCAAGTCTCATCTAAGGGCAGGATTGTCCAGTGTAAGAATTGTCTACAAAAGGGTCATAATAAATTCTCTTGCAAGAATCCCACAGTCACCCCTGAACCTAAGCCAAAGAAGAAAATGGGTAGGCCAAGGTTGGACCCTGAATTAACCCATTGGAGTAAAGGAGGTAGAGGAATAAAAAAAGGACTAATAGAGGGGGATGAAGAGGGAGAAGAGGTGGTGGAAGGGGTACAAAAGGCGGTGGAATAGGGACAAAAGGTGATAGAGGTGGGAGTTCAACTATGCACCAACCAACTCCTGTTGTTGAGACTCAAGAAATTCACCAACAAACACATGATATTGAGACTCAAGGAATGCACCAACAATGACCTGATATTGAGACTCAAACTATGCCCCGGAACACAACATCATAGCGAAGATTTCCAAGATGAAGATGATGGGTTTGTTTTTTCTTATATGGATCATGTACTAAAGACAATTAATGATTTGCGATGTTCAAACTACACTAATCAACAAATCATCAATACTTTAGGTTTAACTGAATCTCAACTTCAGAAATTCCTAGCCTTCAAACTAGTCCCAGTGGACTTACAACCAATCAAAGTGGTATGTTTTAACTTTATTTTACATGTCTTTTACAATTTAATGTTGAATAATATTTTTTGTGGTAGGTTCATGGTCAGGAAGACGAGGAAGACGAGGAAGCTGAGGAAGTTGATGCAGTTGAGGAATGGGAGGAAGATGAGGAAGGTGAGGGAGATGAGGAAGAGGGTGTGGAAGACACACAAGTGATAAGAAGGAGACAAGTGTTGAAAAGGAGAAAACCTTCAGAGAGGATCATAGAGAACAACTTGAAGAAGATGGTGGTGGACAAGTATTGGAGAGGCATGAATGCAAACAAGCCACTAAATCTAGATTAGGGTGTTGAATATCCGCTTCTTTTGTTAGGACTATGCCAATATGTTGGCTTTTGGGCAAATATGTATTGGAAGCCCATTTTGTTAATAAAGTCCCTTTTGTTACTATGCCATTGTGTTGGCTTTTAGGCAAATGTGAATTGAAAGCTTCTTTTGTAAACATCATGACTGACATAACTATTATTTGTAAAAACTTTGGTTGCATGAATATATATATATATATATATATATATATATATATATATATATATATATATATATATATATATATATCAGCCATATTAACTTAATTATTGATTCTTATGATTAGAGTAGGCAAAAATCGACCCAACCCGCTAACCCAATCCAAATTTAGCAGGTTAGGTTAAGACTTTCAACCCATTTAAGTTAAATGGGTCAACCCGCTTAACCCATTTAATTAAATAGGTTGGATTGGGTAAAAATTATCAACCTATTTTCAACCCGCCAACCTATTTAACTTTAATTTAATATTTAAGTTAATAATTATTTGAATATTATCATGTATTAATCAAAGTATTAATTTATAAATTATAATGCTGTCTTATTATTTATGTTTAAAAAAATGCATTAGGATTGTGCTTTTGTCGTACTTTGAAACTTTATTTACGTTTGGAAGTAATTTAAGTGGTGTGATCTTTAGTTAATTTATTTATTTAAATGAGTTAACCTATGTTTAACCAATTTATGTGGTAGGTTGAGTCGGGAACTACATAAACAGGTCAACCCATTTATATAAAAGGTTGGGTTAGGTTGGAAATATCAACCCATTTAAATAAATAGGCTAGGTTGGGTTGAAAACTTCAACCCAATTAATAAATGGGTTGAACCTGAACCCAACCCAAATCGACCCATTGTTAGCTCTACTTATGATGAAATCTATGTATATCTCTTGTTTTGGTCAAGTTTTGTCCTGAAAAATTCAAGTCAAGTAATTGTTAAATGCTTGCAAAAGATAACATTCTTCCCAAACAACATTGCAAAACATAATTTTCATTCAAAAGATAACATTCAAACTAACATTACATCTTCTACTTGTTACTAAGATTACATTGGTCAATTGTCATTTCAAAAGATGAAACCCAAAACACATAAAATTACATCATCATATACCATACAATTGCAAACAATGAAACCCAAAACACAATCATGAAATTAACACCAACTAAGCTATCTTGACGTGCCATATGAAAACCTTGTGGCATATGAAAACCTTGTGCCACAGGTTCCGCCACTGCTTCTACCACATGTTCTTCCATAAAATCTTCAAATCCATCATGGTTGAATACATTTCCATGGTGGTAAAAAAATCGAACAACATTTCCTTGTACCACTGGTTTGGTAATGGAGGGTCTACCCAAGCAAAGTATTTGCAATCCATTTTAGAGTCTTGCATTACACAAAATGAGTCTAATTTCAACAGGAAATGAGGTAGGAATCGTGAAAGAAAGAAAACTTCAAACCCTCAACTTGGGGCATCCAATACACCTTCGTCCAGGATTTTTATCACTCCATGAAGTCCATTTGCCAACAGGATATTCACAAAAGCATTTTGACCTTAAGCCTCTCCTCACTGATCGACTTCCTTTCTTGCTTCCAACAGAAGACGAAGACGCCATTTTTTCTTTCACGGGAGGTTCTAGGGCTTGAAGGAGCATAACATATGCTTAAATACAACATATTCAGCCACATAAGCAAATCATTTAACGACATGGCATCCACCTAAGCAAGGTGACCGGCTAAAATAGTTGTACCGGTGAAAATGGGTCGGTTCGAATAAATTATTCGATATTTTTTCTTTTTTCGTAAATAAAAATTAATTTGGGACTAGACCGTAAAATGGCCTAAAACTTTGGGATTTTTCTGGAAATTTCCCCTAAACATATCATAACATTGTATCACATAGTTAACTATATAGCTAAAATTAATAGCAATTTGTGTTAGAATGTATTAGCAAAATAATAGTACCCCTTCAGTTTTCACTGTTGAAAATTGTAGTGTTCATGCGTTCTTACTATTCTCTTAAGGATATGAGAATCCATATGTAAGGTTTTTGATTCAAATGTGAGCATCATCTTCCTTGTTCTTGGAACAATCTGATTTACCTTCCTATATTTGAAAAGTACCTATTGGTGGATGCTCAATGATCTTGTTTACCCTTTTTGTTGAGTGTCTGAGATGCTAAACAAAACATCACTATCAAGCATAAATGGTATTCTCGTTAACAAACACATTTTCTAATTAAGAAGTGTGTTTGACATTACACCTACAGTGGCCGACATAGGTTTCCGGAGTGGCCGGTGCAACTCCTCAAATTTTAAAGCACATTATAATTTTTTTTTAGAAGTTTTCCAGGATGCCACCCTTAAATCATGTGTCACCCCTGAAGTTTTATCATGCGTCTGCCACTATCTAATTATGTAAAATGAGCTTAATGGGATTTATTATCAAACAAAGTGTAAAGTCATAGTAACCTAGATTGACCAAGTCACAGAAAACCTAGGATGTTGCATTGCATATGTCATAAGGCCCCCTGTCGTATCCATTACGCTTTAAATCCATTTCCCAATTAAAAACTTGCATATATTGTGATGTTTTCCATATGCATTCTTAGATCTCCGATGTTTCCTATATTTCCTATAGACAAACCTGATCTTTGATGTAGTTCAAGCAAACTCAAATATAAACAACTCTCTCCTCCATCCCTCCCTCTCATGTAGATACGACTTCCAATTTATTGTTCAAAATCTCCTTCTTCTAATAAACAAAACCTAAAAATATCACATGTCTCTTTTTTAAAAGCCTATTTGCCACATTGGTAGTTTTCTAAAATTTCTTCAATTTCCAGATCTTTTTTTGGTAACAGATCTACCTTGATTTAAAATTTGAAAAACTAAATCTTATCCTAATAGCAATATAGCATAGTATTTTCAAAATTATTAGAGTCTAACTTTTAAAAATACTAAAAAATCTCTTAAATTGTAATGTATCTACATTATCCTTTTATATTATTTACGTGATCCTCCGTTTAATTTACATATCATATATAAGAAATTTTTAATTTTTTTTGTTTTATATAAAATTTTTAAAAATAAAAATTATAGTTTCCACGGGTTATATAACTACATACATAGATGCAAATTTGAATACTTTTATTGGAATTTCTAATAATCGGCACATTGAATATTAACGCATATTTATCACGTATAGTGAAGTAGAAAAGTTGATTTTTTTTTTGAAAGGCCGAGTAAAAAAGTTGATATTAACACAATTTCCCCAATTAACTTGCTTTCTTCAATTGCTTCCTACTTACCGCTTAGTGCTAGATCGCAACACAAGCTAACCATTCTTTGGTTTAATTTCATCAAACCCGTCAATTCTCGAGTATCTCTCTTTGAAAACAAATTTTTTTTTTTCTCTAGACTCTTCTTGTGGAAAAACAAGAATAGGACTCAAAGCTTACATACCAACTGTCCCATTTAACATAACATGTGTACCAAACACCTCATATCACATATTGAAATTACTAGTTTTAGGGATATATATAAAAATACATAGTTTTTCATCCAAGCAATCTATCATTAATGTCGGTTTCCTGCTTCCAAAATATGGGTGTTATACTAACATAACACCCATATTTTGGAAGATAGTATTTAACAAAATTTCGGCATGACCTTTACATAAAGTCATCCATTCCCAAAAGAATCCAACATGTTTTACACTTGTAATTAAAGACTATTACAAACATTTACATTTCTAAACTATATATTTACATGCCAACCACTCAACAAAATCTCCCATAAATACAATTAATACCTTCCGTAAAATGATCATCTTCTTAAAGTATTGAGATCAACATGAGATTATCAAACACTTGCTATGTCATCATCATCATTTGCTTGTCTTTATTAGTTCTCAGTTTTGTACCTGAAATACACATCGATAACACAATAAATACAGGCATTATATAACATAAAACATCAAGATCTCTAATTAAGATCTCTCTATCATATGTATAATCAAAATCAAAATAATTATCAACTCATGTAAACGAAAGTGATAACAAAGCATGACTTACATCCATTTACAACTGTATCTTTTCTCTTTTCTTGTTACAACCTTATTTATTTTCCCAATCGGATCGTTATGTTGTATTTTGTCTTTTGACATAACAAATCACACGTATAGGCACACACGTAAAGCAAGAAATTTGCTATTTATTATGTGAATATTCTTGATAACGTACGTTTAACTTTGTCTTTGGATGAACTACTTATGTTCTATTACGTCGCTTTTTAAACCAAAAAAAAAAACCCAAAGTTACAACTTAAAGGGTTATAAACATTCAACACCATATCAATATACCCCATTTAAAAACAATCAAACAAAAAGGATGCAAACGAGATAAACCAAAAAAACATGAAACTTAGTCAACACTTTTGATATTACTTTCTATTACTTCTTGCAATATATGATATTTAACATATATATAAGGTATGAAACCATAAACTATACTAATTTTATCAAGCATGAAAAAACTAGAACTTGCAAAGATTCAGAACGCCTCCCGAATGACTTCAAATGAATTCAATCCGACACAAAGCGGAGGCACGGAGGAACTTTAATAACTTGTTAAGAATATTAGGATTGATTTTATGAGCATTTATGCTCAACTTCTCCAAATGAAACGATTGTTCCAACATATACCTGGTCAAAGGGAGCTCTTCTTGTGTGATAGCTTCTTTGTTGAGTATTTTGATTTCCTTCATTTTATGCCGCAAACAATCTGGAGGATCTAATAGTGGGTCCCAGTTCATGTTAAATGTATGTTGTTCACGCGGAAAAGGTACAAGTCCCTAGTGAATGATGATAAACAAATAAATACCAATAATTAGCCATGAGCCTAATGAGGTACTCATTCGGAAGTAAAGAAAGTGTTGTGTAAACAAAAACTTACATCCATAAAGGTAATATGCTCTAGATTAGGCATATTGTCAAAAAAGAGTTGGCAACAAAATCCAGCCAATACGAGAGTCAATACCAATCACAAGTTTGACCAAGTTATCGAATCTGCCTATGGCTACAGCATCCCCATTGTGGAGAGCCTGTATAAAGCAAATAGAGTCATACGATATATCTAAATTCTAAAATGGGGATAATTAAATGCACAAGGTAATGTTTGTGTACTATTGAATGTAATTAGTAGTTTTGGTTTAGGATTAAAATAATAAGCGAAATATCTTAAATGGATAGAGAAACATACCATTAATGTTGAATCGGTCAAGGTCAATAATTTGACCGATGATAGGGTTGGAAGAAGATATTCAGTATTGCGAAAGGCTGGGGTCTTCATGTAAACTTCTACAAGAGACATCAACGGATTCGGAAAAGTGTAGTGTGCTGACATTACATCCACAATGTACATGTATTCTAGGTTAGGAGCATCAATGACAGCCTTATAATCCCCATGAACACACAGTGAAAATGATATCCTTAATCTCTTTAAAGAAGGCGATGAGACCTTAAAAACCTCCAAATTGTCTGAGGAACCGATTACCTGTCTCTCCACAAACAATTCTTCTAAAACAGGACACCCTGAAATCAGATTTGTTAGCGATTGATCACCCGAATAAACAATGGATACCAGATTGATTTTCTTCAGACAAGGAAAAAGCAACTCATCTTCAGGCACATCTAAAACGAACTCTCCTCTCAAAGTTAACCCAACGAGTGCATTGCAACTCCTAAACAAATTCCAACAGAACTTAACCCTAAATCTATCAGCGGGAAACCTAAGTTCAATTTCTTGAACCTTAAATTTAACAACAGCACAAAGCCACTCATAAACACGATTGTAATCGCAGTTCTTTGAACAGTAAAGATAGAACCTATTAGTGTGCATAACACCACGAACAGCAATGACTTGATCAACTGAATCGTGAAATTTCTTCACTTCTTCAGCTGACCAACAAATGGGCATAACGAAACGGAGATTTGGGAGAAACGCCCAGATGTCCTTCCACCTGTTCGACAAAATGCGTGTCCGATTCGCATCAGCTTCTGGGAGAAATGAGAGGATGTGTGTGAGTAGTGCGTCTGGCAATTTGCTTATGATATCTTGTTCTTCTTTGATTTCCGAATGCCTATGCCGTTTGGACATAGCGCAAAGTTCGATTTCTTGAGGAAATGAGAATTGGGATTCTAATTCAAAACAAAATTCTAGGGTTTTGAATTGGGGGTTTTAGGATTTCTTTTGCCTATTTAAATGTCCAGGGGAGGTTTTGTTGTTGTTGGATACAATTTCAAAATATTTAAACTAGAAAATGTTTGACTTTTCAAAGAAATATAATGATATTAGTTGGTCAGTATTCTATTTTTAACATAACATTAATGGTTTATTCGATAACAAAAGTTTAAAATTAGGTGGTATGATAAATTTATACATCCCAACAATTTAAAATTTATGGTAACTTTGACGTTGTTTGATAGGTTTTTTACTGGTCCAGTAAGATGTTAAGTCTGACCTAGGCCGAATCCAAATCAGTATGTTTGACATCATCAATAACAACTCTTATTAGGCCTCAAAGCTCTTAGGGTTGTTCCATAGGCCTCTTACTGGGTTAGTAAGAGGTTAGGACCCAGTTCGAATGTGTTTGAGACTGAAGAAACGAATGAGTGTTGCAAACAAAAACCGTGAAGAAAATTAAGATTAAATACATAATTGAGTTTGAGGTTAAATGAAATGTCACATTTTCACAAACAAAAATTTTCATTTTTAATTAAGGTAAAACACCATTTTCATAAAACCCAAGTTAAGAACATTCATTTGTTCCAAAATACAATTGTTTGAAAATCAGAGTAATATAATAAATGCAAAATTTTCAATGTTATTGATGAATGTGTACAGTCATGCATCCATCTTCCCACGGTCACCAATGGTATTTGAAAAAACACTTAACCCACAACTGTAAGTCAAAGCTTAGTAAGTTCCCCCAAAATACCACACACCACAATATACATATAATGCATGCATATACATGAGCCTTCAGTCTGACTGGACCGCCTCGCGAGGCCTACAATACACATGGATCGCTCACCTGCGCCTCTAGTCCACGACTGATCCCCCTACCATGCCTACAACATACAATTGGTTCGTACCCAGCCTACAGCATACCACTGACCCGCCTCGGGTATCTTTGCCTACCGCACAAAGTAGGACCGCCTCAACCCACCACCCGATATGTCGACATATATATTAAACAAGCAATCTAATAAGAACATAAACACAAGCAACGATCTACACTAGTCTACGTGTCTAACAGCTCACTACAGCATCACCACTGGCAGATTATTAATGAATACATAGCTATATGTAATCAGAGGTGAGATAGACAGTTGAATAGGTGATCCTATTCTAGAGCCACAACCAAACAAGGAACGGGCAAGCAAGCCTAGATCAAGAGTTCTCAGGCTGTCCTACATTACTACATACAACCCCTAGGCCAATCAACTAGACGATCACTAATCCCTGGTACTCTAACCAGCATACCACTACTCTTATATCCTAATATACAAGGATACATATTATAACACATAGTATAGTGAGGAAACTCACCTGAATCGAAGACCCAAGGAAACACAACAATGCCCTCACTCCATGCACCGATCGCCCCACGAACCGACTAACACCAAACAAAGATATATCCTTAATCAGTAACCCAAGTCCTTCAAGTTTGACCCAAAGTCAAACTGGTCAAAAGGCAACGGTCAATGGTCAATAAAAGTCAACAGTCAACCAGGTCAATGCTCACCACGATGTGGAGACCTCTTGGCCACGTCTTAGGCATGTTAGGACAAAACAGTCGATATGCAGGAGCTCGCCACATCGTGGCAATCCCTTGGCCGTGGATCCTAAAAAAAATCATATTCTTCATTATGTGCTTAATCCTTACATATCTAAACCCATAACTTCATATCTAGTCTATTTTAATGACTTAATGGATAAAGTTTCCAACTTTATCCATTAGGACTCCATTACAAGGCAAGATTTACAATTATATGTCCAATAAGTCCTAAATGTGACCCAAACTTGTGCATGAACACAAGATGACTCCAAACATGGCTCTTTTCTCAATCATCATAAGCTTAAAGACCATAAGAGGACCATAACAAGCTTTGGAGTTCCTCAAACTCAAAGAGCATCCATGGAAGGGACCAAAATTATCCAAAATGATCCCAAACTTGAATCTAGAAAATGAAACGCCAAGTTATGAACTTTATACCTTAAATAGCTCATAAATCAAAAGAGAATGATGGATCCAAACTAGCTCCTTGCTTCCTTACACCAATGTGAACTTCTTTCTTCCTCAAACTTCACCACAATCCAAAGAATAAGCTACAAATCAATAAGATAGGCACTCAAACATGCATGGAGGCTAGGATTTCATGTTGAGGGGTTGGAGGCTGAAGAGCATGCCCCAATCCTTGAGTTTAGGGGCTTAAATATGGAAGAAATCCTAAAAGTCATAGGCTTGGGCTGTATCCGCTGCCATGTCGTGGCATCCCTCTTGCCACGTCATGGCGGCCATCAGATGTACATATTTTGAAATTGCAATGCCTCATCGTGATACTCCATTCTCCATGTCGTGGCACAAGGTTTTTCCCAAAAACCTTACCTTTGATCCCTCAAGCCCTCAACTGATCTATTCTGTAAAACAGGTGTTACATTAAACCCAAGTCAAACCAAGTTTTCTATGACTAACGTATGAAAAAAAAGGAAATAAACTTTTTTAATGTTTTGGAGCTACAATTGATTGATTTCATTTACTGTTTGGAAATAAAATTATACTTTTAGAAAGTTTACTATCATATACTTTTAGTAGCTTCAAAGTTTGTGTCTTATAATATACATGCTACAGTATGATGTATTAATCTTTACCCTATATATCACTATATATATACTAGGCGAATGCCCGCGCGTTGCGCAAAAACACCTATATAGTTAAAGTCTTTGCAAATATATGTTTTTTTAAATATAGCAATAACGTTGTTGTTAAATTTGATATAATAATTCGTATACTAAATTGATATAATATATTGATTATTTTGAGTTATATGATAATATATACATCTATTATAACTGCATAATCTCAATCGTTTGAATGACTTCTATCCGCGAGTTACACATGAATAAAATTAAATATAATATATGGTTTAATGTTATTTATAGTTGTTGTTATTGTTAATTAATTTTTTAAAATTTATTTTGCTTAATGTTTTAATTTCTATCATTATAATTATTTAAAACATCAAAACAATGTTTTTTGATTTTAAAGGTAACAATATAATCATTTATATAGAGTTATTTTTAACTATTGTTATTGTAAGTTATTTTAAGCTACTTATTTGAAAACTTTTAACGATTATAAAAATATCTTTAGGAAATATTTTAGTTAAATTGAGATTACAATTTAGTTTTTTGCATTTATCACTACAATTTATCACTTTTAACTATTTACAAAATATTTTTTGGTTTTTTAAGTGGAACTGAAATTTATATTTAAGTTGACATTGTAATGTTATATTTAAATTAATAATTTAAGTATTTTGTCCAAAACTGTTCAAAATTTCTAACTTTAAACTGATAAGGGTTTACATACAAGAACATATTAAATCTAATAATTAAGTATAATATGTTAAAAGTTAAAGACATAACTTTATAAGTAGAAGTAAAGATATTATTTTAAAATTGAAATTTAGTATATTTATGATTACATTTTAAGTTTGATATTTATTTAACCTTACTAACAAACTTATAATCATTATTAGAAAGACACTACAATTAATCAATTTTAACTATTTACAAAATATTATTTGGCTTGTTTAAGTTAAACTAACATTTATATTTAAGTTGACCCTGTAATGCTATATTCAAATTAATAACTTAAATATTTTATACAAATTGTTCCAAAATTGTATCTTTAAAATGATAAATGGTTTGCATCCAACAATATAATAAAACTAATAAATTAAGTATAATATGTTAAAAGTTAAAAAACATAACTTTATAAGTAGAAGTAAATATATTATTTTAATATTAAAATTTAGTTTATATATGATTACACTTTAGATTTGATATTTATTTAATATTATTAACCAACTTATAATTATTATTAGAAAGAAAATGAAAAGTCATGGGAGTTTCAAATGAATGTGGTGAAAGGAAAAATAATTCATTTATAATATAGTATGATATGATATGAGGATATATATATATATGATATATATATATATATATATATATATATATATATATATATATATATATATATAGCTTGTTTAAGTCGCTAGATATATATAGTTTCGTTCTTTTGAGTTATGTTTGATTTTAATATAAATGAATAATAAACTTGGTGAATTAGATACAATCTCGAAGTACAATTTCAAAATTACATACAATTTCAAAGTTCATTGTCATTGATGGTTGGTTTTATTTATGCAGAAAGTATGAATTTGTATCGTTTGAGTTGCAAACAAAAAAAAATGGTAAAATGGTCATTTTCATCATTCAGTACAACCAGTCAGATACATAATCAAACAATATGGTTTCAGTCAGATGTAGATTCAATCACACGTCAGACCAAGCCTCAAACTCAGTCAGATCTAACTCAATTAACAACTATCAAACAACCCTTTTATCAAGTTTCACCCTACTTTTAAATTTTATAGCTCCATTATCGTATATATTTTATAGCTCTATTATCACGATATTTTCCCGATTAATACTCTAAAGTCGTGATGATCCGTCTACTAAATTTTAGCATGATTATTGGATGGGATGTCAAATTCATGAATAGATTTGATGGAATATGTGCACTTGAAAAAAAAATATTGACTCATTACGAATAGATGGTGTAACGGTGTGTAGGAGTGGGAGTGGGAATGGAGAGAGTTGGTGTGTGATGGTGTCAAAGTTGACCAGCTCACGCTTTCATGGGTTGTCTCGCAGATTTCTTGCGAGTTCATACCTAGACATACAATTGTGGGATCAGGGGCGGACACACTTAGTGTCTTGGGGTGGCACAGACAACTACTCGATTTCATTCTAGAAGTGTAAAATTTTGTAAATCTATCACAAATCCATCAGAAATCTCTCACGAATCCGTTAGAAATATGTCACAAAGTTCGATAAGTGTAAATTTTTCGGTAAACCTTTTAGTGACGGATTTTGTGACGGGAAACTAGCATCGGAAATGAGTTTTTTTTCTAGTAGTGTA